TGTGTGTGTGTGTGTGTGTGTGTGTGTGTGTGTGTGTGTGTGTGAGAGAGAGAGAGAGAGAGAGAGAGAGAGAGAGAGAGAGAGAGAGAGAGGGATGATAACTCTCCACCCTCGCGGCTGGCGCCATGATACCCGTCGTTCCCACTGCCCGCGGTTCGGTCGTCCCACTATTCCGTTGGCCTCCACCCGCTCAACCCTGCATCTCTCGTGCGCGCGTCAGCCTGAGCCTCCGCCCCCCTCCGCGGCTTTCCCTTGACCTCCGCCCCCTCGACCCCGCATCCCTCGTGCTGCCACTTCGGTCGTCGGTACCTGCCTCGGCCTGGGACTCGCCCCTGCGCCGGTTCGCCTGCCCGCATCCCTCGTGCCACCGCTTCGACCGTCGGTACCCGCCTCCGCCTGAGACTCGCCCCTGCGCCGGTTCGCCTACCCAGTTCCGCCCCTCCACAGGTTTCCCTTGGGCCCGCGACCGAGGGTGTCGTCGGACCCTTTGTATCTTTTAGTTGTATAGAGATAATATTCCCAAGGTGCAAGTTGCTAATTGTTTGAAGTTTCTGAGAACAGAGATTTGTGATAGTTTTCAGAAGTGGCGAGATTTTTGTGGGAACACCCCACAAATTTCGGATCAAGTACTGTCCGATTATATGTGCAGTAAAAGCGAATGCCAGTCTGTTGTTCTTACACTCGACGCAGTACGTAGGACCAAGGAGATGTATGACGGCCTCGTATTGACACCTCTGGCTCGCAATCAAGGAGAAACAGTCGTCATGTGCCCTAAGATCAACCATGAAGCTATGATGCAGAGTTTTGTCCTTAACCCTCTCGATACAGGATTATTCAATCGCGGGAGAGTGAGGTGTTGAGGGAGATCCGTGAAGATGTCCGTGAGGCAGGACTTACAAAATTTGCAAGATGGGATGCTAAAGAACGCATTGGGTCCGCCTACATAATTCCTAAACATAAGGATCTGACTCGATACCGCCCGATTTGCCCTACCTTCGTTGAGCCCCCGGTTCGCACGATTTGCCCTACCTTCGTCGAGCCCAATGGTTCGCACGGGTAGGGGTAAGGTGGTGGCAAAGAGTCTGAACTTTATGCTAGCCAGACTGTCATTTTTATCTGCCCATGTTAGCCATACTGCCATTTTAATCTGCCAGTAGCCTCTCAGCTGACATGCGTGGGAGGAGGGATTAACTCACGGATTCGACGTCTGGGAAGACATTCAGACTTGGGTGCACAATCTTTTTTTGATATAAAAGATATGTTCAGCCGCCTCCCGCACTGTGACATTGTGAGGTCCGTTGAATGGCTCATAGACTTCCACCAGAGGAAGGCAAGGGATTATGTGCAAGTAAACTCAAGAGGGAAAGGTTGTTCTTTTCGTTTGACCACCGGGGCTGATCATTGGCGCATGCTGAGATTTGATGAATTGTTCACATTCTTTTTATTTACGTATTGAACTTGCACACACTTACACTTATGCCACGGGTGTTTTGATCAGACAGGACGTGTACCAATGGGTAAAACCACAAGTCCACCGCTGGCTTGTGTAATGTGTGCACATGCGGAGTTGTTGTTTTTGAGTAGCCTGGGGACATATGCTAGGCAAGTATTTGGTGTACGGCTCATGGACGATGTGATTTTGGTGACAGCATCTCTGGCTGCACAGGATCTGACATGGGTTTGGGACAGTTTCTCTGTATGTTACCCTTAGAACCTGTGTCCGAAACGTACGACTCCGCATGTGCACACATTACAGAGAAACGTACGACAGGATCCGACACGGATGATGGCTCGGGGGCATTGGAGTTCCTGGGATGTGAAGTCAGATGTAAGAACACCTATCCTTACCTGGGCTGTATTCAGTTATCGAAGAACGAGCAAAGTATCTGGTCTACCGAAAAACTGAGGTTCCAGAATGGGCAATCCTATACAGTCTTGGGGAAGTGAACAGCAGAAGAGTGCTACATTTAGTAGCCACCTACATAGGATTGAACAGAACACCTCAATACGCAGTGAAATACCTGCCAGTGGACGGGTATTGTCGCTGATGCGAGAACTCAAGATTAAGGACTTTCCTACGGATTTTTTCAAGAGAATCCTACGAAAGTTGGGATTTCGTAAGGATGAGATTTGGAAACGGACGAGTCAAGTTCTCTGGCAGAGTTTTGAAGACTGAATTAAGGAGTTGCTACAGATAGAAGTAGATCTGTGAATCTAAGCCACAGGTCATGTGGCCAACGACCAAAGAAATAGTGAAACAGTACAATATGGTAACTGATGTAGCATGGAAAGAGAGAAAAAGAGTAGAGATTACAAACTGGTCTTCCATAACTAGTCTGTAGTGGATATATGGAGGTTTGAACAGGGCTAGATGTGATAGTTATTTCTGGCGCTCGACTATGGGTGAAGAGGCTCAAAATAAAACCCCATCAGACACTTCTACATCAGTATGTTCATCTGTTTTCTCACATGAGGGACGCTCAGCGAAGACTGTTCTTGAGCTAGGTCGGGTCGAGAGGTTGAACGAACGCTGCTTAGCGCCCACGGCGCAACAGGCTTGCGTCGGTAGCGCGCGCAAGGCTTGCCAAGGTAGGTAGGGAGCGAGGCGTCGCTGAACGGGGGAGACCGCGAGACAGTGCCAGAGTCGGCCATAGCCGAGTTACGGTGGACACGAGGGGAGAAGGGGTAAAGGAGGGAAAGGATAGTGGGGGGAGGAAGGGAGCGAAGGAATACCCGTGTCGAGGCGGGCTCCGTTTGGTAAATCAGCGCGCAGGAAAGACCTACCATAGCGAGTGTCCAGAGAAAAGGTGAGAGACCGCAAAGGTGGAAAACCAGGGTAATGGTGGTCGACCAGACTCACTGCGATGGAAGCAGGCGTTCGAACTAAATCGACATAAGAACAACAAGCACGGACAGCGGGCGTGGGGAGTACATCGCGACCCGGCCCCCTTGGGGCCCCGCGCGGGGAAACCGGCGCGGTGAGGGAGGCAGGTCGCTTATATACCTGCCATGTGTGCCAGTCCGTCGCGCTCACATCAGAGTTGTACAAAAGATCTGAAGGAAAGTGACAACAACAACTCAAGACTCGAAGACCCCGCGCGAGGTTGGCGGCTCGAAGATCGTGGATCCCCCTCTCCCCCCTCAACCACCGATCCGTCCCTCGCACCCCGCCTCAGATCTCGGCCCCGACCCCGCCCCGATATCCCCTCCCCTTCCGTATTCCGACTGAATCCTCCCTCGTCCCCGACCTCAGCCCCTCCGATCCCACGGTTTCGTCCCTCTCCTTCCCCCCGCCTCCGATTTCCCCGTTTCGTCCCTCACACCCCACCTCAGATCCCGGCCCCGATCCCGCCCTGACATCCCTCTCCTCTCGCGTCCCCCTCCTCCCGCGTCCCGACTGATCCTCCCCCGTCCCCGACCCCGACCCCCAAAACTCCCTCCTCCGCCTCCGATCCCGACCCCACCGTCTTCTCCTCCCTCACTTCCCCGTTGACCCTCCCCGCCCTTCGAGATTCCCGAGTCCATCGGTCCCGACCTTGTTCGTTCCCCGATCTCGTCGATCCCGACATCGCCCTCCTCTCGCCTCCCGACTGTACCTTCCCCCGTCCCTGAGCCCGACCCCGGGACCGATACTACCTTCCCCGCCTCCGATCCCAACCCCACCGGCTTCTCCCCCCTCACTCTCGACCCCGACCCTCCTCGACTTCCCCGAACCCCGACCCCGTCGATCCTTCCCCGACCTCGGCAAACCCCGATCTCGTCGTTCCCAACCTTGTCTGTTCCCCGTTCTCGGCGAACCCCGACCCCGTCGATCCCGACATCACCCCCCGACCCCGACCTCTCCGAACTTTTCCCCCCCCACTCCCGACCCTGATCCCCTCCGACATCCGCGCTGCCCAGATTCTCCCCGACCTCCGCGATCTTCGATCCCCTCGATCCCGACATCGCCCGTTCCTCTCCGCCCTCCATGAACCCCGGTCCCCGTCTCCCCGTCTCTCAACCCGACATCCGGACCAACCGATTTTGTTCCCTTTCGCCCACTGTCGCCCACCGTCGCCCCGTCCCATTCCGACCTCGACCCGGCTCCTCCCCCTCCCTAGGACCCCCCCGATCCCGACCCTGTCCTGGCTCCCTCCCTGACCGATCCACGATTACCCCCTTCCCACTTCCGATCCCGATCCCGCCCTGATCTTCCCCCCACTCCCGACCCCCATCTCACCGATCTCAATCCTGAATCGTAAACCACGACCCCTTCCCGACCTCGACCCCACGCCTGGCGACTCCCCCTCCCCACCTCCGACCCTGTCCGACCCTCCCCGATCGATCCCGATCCAAACCCGTTCTAATCCCGACCCCTCTCACCCATGATTGATTCCCCTTTGAACCTGATCCCGATCCCCATCCTCTCCACGATCAACCACGACCTTCCTCCCCCTGCTTTCCCCTGCGATCCCGAACGGGCCTTCGATCCACCCCCACTGCCCATCCCCTCCACGATCAACCCCGACCTTCCCCCCCCCGCTTTCTCCTGCGATCCCGAACGGGTCTTCGATCCATCCTCACGGCTTCTTTCGATCCACCCCCACTGCTTCTTCTCCCGATCCAACCTCTCCCACTCGGGCTGAAAGGAGTGCATCCGGCCACTCAGTGTGATTACGAAACAGGGTTTACTCTGCTGGTACATCCCCGCTCAGGCTAAGAAGTGTGAAAGACCAGTCCTGCCACAACGCGACCACAACGTGACACATCTAAATGGTAAGCAGCAGCATGAAGCCCCGCCACCAGCGGGCACACAAAAGGCTAGATTCGATGCTACTGTACCGGGGGATAGTTAGACAATACGCGCAGAATCGACTGGCTGGGGAAGGGGATCAGAGAAAGGTAGACGATAAGGGGGGGGATCAGGGGAAAGAGGCGAGCAATAAGGGGGGGGGCCAGCAGATAACAGCCACCCAGACCGATCTAAGCTCGTCCTCCCATGGCACCGGGGACAAAAGAGCTAACCCGGGAATTAACAGAGAAAAGGCATCAGCTTTGGATGCCAAACAAAGCCTGTCCTCCCAGGATCCGACCGTCCATTCCTGGGTAGAGAAGGTGAAGGAGCGGCCTGCCCAAGCAAGCATCGCGGTCAGACGTAGGAAGGAAGGGACGAGCGGGGGGGGTGAGGAAGAATGGAAGATCCCGGTGGGGAACTTGACAACGGCAGGGGCGTTCTTCCTCTCTCGCCTCCTGGCCACCCCGGAGAACAGGATTTTACAGCAGGGGGGCAGGCCAACCATGGTCAGAGCACTGGCTGACGAGGCAGTGCAAACCAGAGACTTCATTTATACTCACCATGCAAGTAACAGGGCTTTCCACGACGACGACGCCTTCAAATCTACAAATGATAAGGTGGGGTGGATCAGGGAACGGTTGGCTGCATTCAAGGGATCTCCGGCAAATGCACGCGAACGGTTCCTGATCCAACCAGCCTCGTCATCTGTCATCACAGTCCTCTGCGTATCAGAGGCAGACAAAAAAACGATGGATGGTTGGAGATCACTGCGGTGTGACAGATCGGAGGTCCGCATCTATCTATGGGCCCCCTCGAAACCGCAACGCCCCGAGGAACGCAGGGAGCAATTGATGAGGGAGCACTTTTGGATAGAATTCCGGCACATCCCGATCGAGATCCAGGCTGCCTTCGTCCAGGACATCGCCGAGAAGTACGACATAATTGACTTCATTGACCCGCTCCCCCCTCATGTGGCACGCAGGGACGACTACTTAATGCTAGCCATCAACCTGGCCGACGAGCACGTTTTTTCGATTGACGACGTGATTCCCTTCTGCGTGGGGGGCAGGCTGTACAGGGTCCACACCGCCCACAAACATAGACCCTGGTGCTTTAAGTGCCAGGCTTACGGGCACCTCTACACAGACACAACCTGTGGCAGACATCCCTCGCGCACAGCAAAACCCACAGGACGTCTGAGGAAGGACCCCTTCGAGGAAGCTAGGTGGAGGACGGTCGATCCGGGATATGAGGGATGGGTGTACATAGACAAACCAGGGGGGAAGGAGGGGGAGGCAGTTGGCTGGACATGGGAAGGGCGGGGGGGTCCACAGCCAGGCTCCCAGCCACCGTCCAACTGGGTCCCCCCCAAACCACTGGAATCGCATTTGCAACCTCCCCCCAAGGCAAAAAAACAGGGTACTTGGATAGCAGTCGGCAGTAAAAAGAAGGAACCCGCACAGAAGGAAGTGGTGGAGACAAAAAAAGGAGGCGGGGATCAGGGCAATCGCTTTGACTGCCTGAGTGATGGGGCAGGTCCACTCCAGGATACACAGAAAACCCAGGAAGAGGTCTCTATTGAAGAGGACCTGTCAAAAAAGGGGGATCAGCCATCGTCAGCACAGTCGAGCCTGCCGAGTGAAAATAAGGGGACAAGTACCCCGTCACACACGCAGCCGGCCTCTTTAACAGAAGTACCCAAAACGACAGAAGGAGGGAATGAGAGCGATATGCTCCCGGAAAAGCAGCACGGTACGAGGCTGAAGCAGCAAGCAAGGACCCGGCCACCGCATGCACAGCAGCCACACCCGCATCCCCCCCAACCTTAGCAGGAGGGGCAGGGCCATCAACAGCCAGATCAACTGGCCCCTGATTTCTGTTCAGATGCCTTTGGGGCACAACAAATGGACGTTGATACAACCCCCCCGCCGCCCGGCGTAGAGATGGAAGACTCCCCCAAAGACCCGTCGGACCCGGATGTCCCCCCACAGGAAATGAGCCTGGACCAGAAAATCCAGGTGGTGGCAGACTGGATCCTAAAACATCTCCAAACAGACTGCCCCCATGAAGGAGAAGAGTACTGGGATAAATCTTACGTTGAGTTAGTAGCTCTCCTCAACAACAGCCCGTCCCTAAGGAATGCGCTCACCACTGCCCCCCCCCCCCATCTAACATGGGCTGAAGCATTTCAACGCATACTGGCCGTCGCCCGAGGACGATTTCACCCGCCTCCAGCACCGGAACCAGCTGCTCCACCCCCTGGACACGAATCTTCGTGCGTAGTACCGAACAACGGAAAGGGAACAGCAGAGGAAGGGATGACCTCTCGTAGACTTAAAATTAGGCAGCTTATCGAAAGGGGCCTCTTCGCACTACCTCTCTCCAAGCTATATGGGGTGATGGTAATCCCCCTCAGGAAAGCGGAAGGGAAATGGGAACTGGGTCTCTTTCCGGTGGGGGATTATGGGGGGGTAACGATGCACGGTTGGGAATTCTCCCTCCACGAAAAGGACCACATGGAAAGAGGCAGAGTTTTCTCTGACCAAGTGTCTACCTTCATCCCCAAACACTATTCCCCGGGTGCAAGGGCAGGACTCAGGTTCGAAACGTCCAACGAACAGATAGCGCGCAACGACCTGTTCCTGCTCTTTGACCCCAATAAAACCTCTGATCTGAGATGGTTTAGCCACAACGCTCTCTTGGACCTGTAGTGTGCCAAGATCAAAGCCAACGACTTCTGGTCTGAAGACGATGTGTCAACAGAAAAAATGTTTTGATTTTTTTTTATTTTTAAACATAGAAGTTAAATTTTTGATATGTATCCACTGCTTGTGATGGACCCAACTGATTGGCATATACGAAGGCCCTTGCCAAATATATACCAACAAGTCCCTATACACTCCCAACAAGTCCCAACACAGTCCTAATATGTATGTGGTAATGTGTATTTGAAGTTAACCTTATTATGAAATACTAAAAACTAAAGGAGTTAGAGTTATGAATCAGTGCGCACATGATTTGCATTTGTGTGGAAAAATCATATATTTTGTAAATAATAGGTGCTGGAAAGGTATGTGGTACGTTGGTATGAAAGACTTGTAATTACCCTCAAAGTACTACGTACCTTTTAGCATAAAAGTACATAACTACTTGTCTTTAACAAATGTAATGAAATGTTCTTGCTGAGAGAGAGAGAGAGAGAGAGAGAGAGAGAG